TCACTGTGAATCTTGTAGCAACTACCTTGGCTTTAATTATTTTTTTAAAATTCTTTCCTTTTCCTCATGACTGGTGAGGCCACACCTCCCCTGCCTCTAGTGACTGCACGTCCCTGACCTGTATCCAGCTTTACACATCAACATCAAACTAAACAGGAGATATGAAAAGTCCTGAGGATCTTCATCTGGAGGCTGCCAGGGATCAGACAAGGCATAGTCCAGCAAATACAGAGCTGTTGGTGATTCAGAAAACTTTTGGTACTATGGATGTTCCATCTATAGTGATAGGATGATGGGATGACACTTGAGGGAGCCAGAGGTTCTTCTGGATTCATAGCTTCTGCTGGAACAGCAGATGGAAAACATGGCCAAGAGAGTCTTTGGCCAAAGTTGGGAGGTGTATCTGTCTGTTGCACTATGCCCTGGACCAGAAGGCACCATAAACATATTTCTGCTAGATTGCTATACTTTGCTTTATGTGGAGCTGCTCTTGATGATGACTTGGAAGCTGCTGCATGAAATAGTTTAGCAGAATAACATTCTGCAGAAACTTCATGGGCTGTTGATAGGAATCCAGGCCCAATTCAAAGTGCTGCCGATTACTTATGAAGCCCTTATGTTCCAGAACCTTGTTATGTTTGGTAGCATCTTCCCCACATATAATCCCCCACTCTGCACAACCCAATAAAGAGGATGCTCCAGGCAAAGGGGCTGTGACCTGGAGAACCATATTCTCTGCAGTAGAACCCTCTCTCTGGAACAGCTTGTTACCCCAGAGTCAGATATGTCTCTATCCATGGTGGTGTTTGTCATAACAGCAAAACAGGCCCTCTTCATGAGAGAGCTTCAGATTTGCTGGATCATAGCAACAGTTTTTATTAACAGTATTCCCTAAGAAGATTTAGTGCTTTTAATAATTTGTTTTTATTACTATTTTATTGTGTTTGCTGGAAATTGCCCAGAATTATCAAGCCTATCTCCTGACAAGTAAACAAATAAATCTGGAAGTTGTCAGGACCTGGGCTTTGGCTACAAGGTCCAGCCTCAGTTTCATCATCGCATCAAGGCTCCTGACAAGAAATGAGCAGCAAATGCATAGGAAGAGGAAAACAAGAACAAGTACTCAGAGAATATTTGCAGCTCAGGGATTCTTCGGTGCTCTCTGGGCTTGGTTGTTCCCTTGTTGCCCCTTTTATGTAAACAAAGAGCAACCCCTCTGCCTTCAAACACGGATGATGTTACTTAATTTCATTCGTCATATTTAAGAACCACCCAGCACTTTCACAGAAGGTGTCTGTCTGGGCAGAGTACAGGAAAATAATTGGGTAATGAAATGTCTGCAGAAAACAACTAGAGAGCACCAAGGACACCACACAAGAACAAGTATTTAAAGGTGTGGGATGATAGTATATCTAGCAATTATGTGTGTGGATGTGTCCATCCATATATATTTATAGAGCGAGAGAGAGAAAGAGAGAGAGTATCTAGGCTGGGACAATATGCTAAGTTCTCCATTTTTAAATCCATCTCAATTTTTGCAATTTCTTTCCGCAGCCACCAGGGGGAGAAGGAAAGCTTTTAGATCTGATGTCTCCGGTAAAGTGGGTGTGTGCTGTCGAAGTTCAGTTGCCTGCATTGCCCATGACTTGCATCTTTTGTGTGCACCGAATCCATGTCCGGAGTTTCATGCAGTGCCGGTGAGCCAAACCTCTTTCTCAAAGCGATGGGACACGCTGGGCGGCGGCCCAGCTTCTCTTCCAAACCTCTCTCCTTACTGAGCGTGAATCCGTTTCTGCCAGAGGGGCGTGCATAAGCGCACCAACGTGCCTACCGTCCCTGTCCTAACAGCCCCATTTATTCGTATCCCTTTCATGCAATCATAATCTTGTACGTACCTGTATCTATTATCGTATACACTCGTGACAAAACAAATAAATCGCTCCTGGAAAGCTCTTTGATGGCAGACAAAAGGCAGAAAACACAATGTGCGAAGGAGATAAATCCCCATAGGCAAAAAGGGTTAGCCCAGCCTTTCACTCTCCGCTGTGCCTTTTCTAGAACCGAATACGCTTTTTTTCCATTCCAGAGCAGAATATTCCCGTATCAAAAAGGATACAGTTTCTACTGCAGAATGATTATGGGCGATGCGAAGGCTACCGAGGATGCCTTTTCTTTTGCAAAGTCAAGCGTAGTTTTAGGGAGCTATATATATATAAAAAAACCTCCTCCACTGCGCCTCCCTGCAAAGGTACAAGTTCATTAATACGAAGGCTATCTTATTCCTGCCCTGCTCTTCCGCCTCAAACGCCGGTTTCATTCATTCATTCATTCAGCCGCTGCGTCTGTTTCCAACTCCAGAACTGGGAAGAGACGTCAGGAGGTGCTCTTCCTCCTGCCAAGATGGGGGCAAGACCCCCACCCGCGCCCAATAACCCCATAACTCTCTCTTCTCCCCCCTTCCCTTTTCCAGAAAAAAAGGAAATCCCCGCGAATCGGGGGGGGGGGAGGCGTCCCAGAGGCAGCCGAGCGGACACTTGCTCTCAAGTAAGCGCCGCGCCGTCGCGGACTTTAGCAGGGGGCGCTTCTGGCGGGCACCAGGGTGGCCCGGGTCGCCTGGATTGGAGATGGAGCAGGGCGGGCCGCTGGGGGAGATCGCCTTCCTCCTCCTCCCCCTCGCCTTTGGCAGGACGGCGGTGGCTGGGTGGGTGCCTGTCCCTTCCCCCAGTCGACGGGCTGCAGTGCGGAGTTCTAGGCTGCATGCAAGGGAGAGGAGGAGCTTGCCGCTCCCCCCCCCTCCTCCCCGATCCCCGACCGATCGTTTATAAAGCAGCATCCCCGGATCCATCACCTTTTGCTCCTCGCCACCCACTGCTCGGACCTGCTCGGAGCCCCAGCCCAGCTAGCAGCCATGAGCCATTCCGGTAGCAGCATCCGCGCCACCTCCTACCGCCGCACATTCGGGCCCTCGCCCATGCTGTCTCCCATGCCCTACTCCTCGTCCCGCCTGGCCTCGGCTTCGTCCGCCACGCGGCTGCTGAGCGTGCCATCCGCCGGAGCCTCCCTGCGCTCCTACCGCGGGAGCGGCGCCGGGGGCAGCGCCCTGTTCCTGCGCACCGGCGCACAGTCGATGCTGGCCGGGCCGCCGCCGCAGCGCTACGCCTACAGCGCCGAGAAGCTGGACTTCTCGGTGGCCGATGCCCTCAACCAGGAGTTCCTGGCCACCCGCAGCAACGAGAAGCAGGAGCTGCAGGAGCTCAACGACCGCTTCGCCAGCTTCATCGAGAAGGTGCGCTACTTGGAGACGCAGAACGCCGCCTTGCTGACCGAGCTGGGCCAGTCCCGGGCTAAGGAGCCCACCCGCGCCTCCGACCTCTTCCAGGATGAGCTGCGCGAGCTGCGCCGGCAAGTCGACTCGCTGGGCAAGGACCGAGACCGCCTGCAAGTCGACAGGGACAACCTAGCCGAGGACTTGGCCGCTCTCAAGCAGAGGTGAGTCCTCCCACAGGGGTGAAATCCAGCAGGTTCTGACAGGTTCTGGAGAACCGGTAGCCGAAATTTTGAGTAGTTNCTTCAAGTTGCCAAGGTTGAGAAACACTGCGATAGATTATTAATTCTGCAAGGAGCATGGAATGAAAATGGTTTCTAAAATCAAATTTCAAGCTACTTAACTTTATTCCACCTGCATCTCTGCTCTTTCCCATTTCTAGTGCTTTCTTCTTCTTTTACTTAGAGGTCAGAGAATCTGTGAACAGGATTGTTACTTATTTGGTTTTTTAAAAAAAAACAGTGCCTACGTCACAGTACAAATATTTTAGGGTGCAGAGACGTTGATGTAATCTTTTAATATCACATTCATAGGTTAAGAACTAGGTGTGATCAATGCTTGGGAGCAAGAATACAGCCAGAATCTTAGCCCATATAGCACATTTGCCAAGCAGTTATATTTTGCTCGGTTCCTGAAAACAGAAGTAAAAAAGAGACGAGATGGAATATTATTTCTGGTATCGATGCGTGTTTAATTATGTGGGTGAGGGCTGAGTTTGCTTAAAAGTTGTGGACCGCATGAGGCGAGATGAAAGCAACCAATTCTGTAGCATTCTCGCCCAATTTCTGCTTTGGGGCTGCTCTCTGCCCTCTACAGGCTGGATGAGGAAATGCACAAGCGAGAAGATGCTGAAAACAACCTGGTTCTCTTTCGCAAGGTGAGCCAAGCCTCTTCCGGACGGGAGAGCACTAGAGGAGGGAATGGCATGCTTGGCTCCCAAACCCCCTTACACGCCCCTCCCTGCACGGGTCCTTTCACATTCACAACTCACCCTGCCGCGTGCAGACACAGCCATGCTTTTTTCTTTTCTTGTTTACGCGGCAACGCATGCAACCGTCCACATTTGTTTCGCATGCTTTAAGTAGCAAGCCTTGTTTTTGAACTCTCTGTTTGGCAGTTGCGTCAGCTTCCGATTGTGCTGGAAGCAGGCTCTCTCCCTGGAATCCCAGGCCAGCAGCAGGCCAGCCGACCCCTCTTCCCATTCTCTGCTGTCCATTTTACTCCTTAAATTAACGTGGAAAGTGGTTGGGGAGTTCGCTGGGATTCTTATCGGCTTTCCTTCCCGCCACTGCCCCACCCTCTCCTGTTCCCCCCTGATAGGATGTGGATGATGCCACCCTTTCACGCCTGGAACTGGAGCGCAAGATTGAGTCCCTGATGGATGAAATTGAATTCCTCAAGAAACTACACGAGGAGGTAAGGAGTGATAGTGGGCTGGCGTGCAACTGATGCCCCTTTTGCTGGCTTTTTTTGAACGATCGTAGACTGTTCTATGTGAAACAGGACCATTTTGGGGCTGCGTAGGAAAGCATCCTACATGCCGTAGTAGTATATCTTCCCAAAGGTAATGATAACAGCGTTGGAAGGAGGTAGGTGGTGCCACAATGAGCAGAGTAGGTGCCTCAAGGAGAAGGATGGGAGACTAATGTAGCCAGGATAGGAAATCCCGTGGCTTCTGGATCCTGCAATCCCATCTATTACGCTTGAGAGTCAGAGATGCTGGGAGCTAGAAGTGCAACAGCATCTGGAAGGTGACCGGTTCCCCGCCCTTGGATTTGCGATTATTATTATTTTTTAAGGCAATCCTGCAGCAAAGATGTTGCTTCTGGGCCATCTAGTGGTGCCTGGCAGGAAAACATCTGCATCTCCAGCCCCACCCTTGGATGAGTGGCCTGGATGACTGGTCTGCACTGTAGTTTTGCAGGGCAGATTCACTTGAGGATGTAATGCAGGGATGGCTGCTCTTGCACTTTAATGCTCCGTGGGAATATATCTTTTGGGCATCTCTGTTTCATGTGAACAGTGATGTTATCTCTGAGCAGTTCTCTTTCAAGATTGCCTTCTCTGCATTGCATTCTTCGCCACTGAATTATGGTCCCTAATCTCACCTACCTGTTTGCGTAGTATGGAAGCCTATGCGATGCTTACCTATATAAGGACCCTGCTTGGTGTTTCTGACAATCTCTCCTCCCGCCACCCCGACGCCTGCAGGAGATGAACGACATGCAAGTGAGCATACATAGCCAGCAGCAGCAGCAGGTGGAGATGGAGCAGGTTAAGCCGGATCTGACCGCCGCCCTGAGAGAGATCCGCACTCAGTATGAAAGCATCGCGGTCAAGAACCTGCAGGAGGCCGAGGAGTGGTACAAATCCAAGGTGCCTAAACTGTGTGTGTGTGTGTGTGTGTGTGTGTGTGTGTGATAAGGAGAAGGTGGGGTTGCTGCACGATTAACAGGATGCCATTGCAAAACGTTGTAGAGAGTAAGGAAGATGACCTCAACGGGAATATGCAGGATGCCTTATTGATTTTATTACAGTAGATTTATATGCCGCCCTGTCTCACTGTCCCATGGCAAAAGAGGCTGGAAGGTACTTTTTAAAGTCCAGAACAAAGAGATTACATTTGGAAATGGCTCGAGTAAGGCACCTCTGTGATTCATCGGAGCAGTGTTTTCCCCAGCCAGTAGGGGGAGCCCTAGCACTGAATAAACGCTGTCTCTTTTGATGCATCAAGAAAATAGCTGCTTGGTAGAAAAGGAATTTCCTTATCACCATAAAACTTATTGATATAGCAAAATAATAAACCACTTAGGGTACAGGTTGACCCTCCCCTCCTGCTTCTACTTGGCATGTGGCGCAATGCCTCTTCATTGCTATTTATTTACTTATTTATTGAATTTATATTGCCTCCTGTTTGCACGTGGCGACAGAATGTAAAAGCCCATATAAAAACAATAAAACTAATAAAAGAAGTCATATAATAAATATACTAAAATCACCCCACACTCCCCGCCCCAGTGAGTGCACCTCACACGAGCCATTTAATGGGCTCCATCCTGCTCTGAGTTCCCCAGGCCCACTGGCAGAACTAGGTCTTCAGTGCATTCCTAGAGTGGAGGCCATTCTAATCTCTGTTGGGGTTGATATTCCAGAGATACAATACAATAGCAGAGTTGGAAGGGACCTTGGAGNGGAGGAGGAGGAGGAGGAGGAGATAGCTGTCAGGCAGACCCTGTTTCACCATAATGAAGAGTTTTAGTATATCAGAGGTTGAAGTGGAAGGAAGCTGCCCAGCCTTGGACTGGGGCTCAGGAGAGAAGATGCAGATGGGGTGGGTGTGCTGTGCATAGAAAAGAGGTCCTTGAGATGAGCTTGGAGGAGGGGGAGGTGGAAGGGGAGAGAAGGGTGTGGTGGGGATGAGTCTGGCAGACATGACGTGATGGAGAGGAGGGAGGGGGAGGCTGTCGAAAGGGCAGCAAGGCAAGAAAACCAGGCATTTGGGAAAGAGGAGGCTGGGCTAAAGATGGGGTGGGGCAGGAGGAGAGAAGGGTGGGGGTGGGTGGGAAGAGGGAGGAACCTTCTGGCCCAGATGGAACTCCACCACTTGTTTGGCTTGGTGGCAATCTCTTTTGTGGCATCTGGGAAGCTCAGGGAAGGGATGGAGCAGAGGACACGGGGGAATCCGTTCAAGTGGGCAAAGGAAAGACTCATGGTTTGCAGCCAGGCTGCAAACTCCAGGGATAAAACGACGGACAATAGGAACCCAGTCAGTGGCCTTGCAAGAGCCTGCTTCTTTGCAGCAGAACCGTTTTTTCTGCTTTTTCATTTATTTGTCATGCATATTTATATTCAAGTGGAAGAGAAGTGTGACTGTGTTCCCTTGGGCATAAGTGAAGTGTGGTTGGTTCTCCTCCAAGCTGGCAGGGCTCGTGCTGTGGCAGATGGGGAGGTGGGAAGAAGGAAAGAAGAGATGAATATTAGATTCCAAATCTTGGAAGAGAGACAGCTAGACTCATTTCAACACACAAAATATTACCGGACAGCCTCTTTTCCAATATATTCTCCTCCTCCTTCCCCATCTTACTTGCCCTCTTGGGACAGGGGGAAAAAAAAAGAAGTTATCCTCCAAAATCCACATTTTTCAGATGCTTCAGTTTTTACTCCAAATGGTTTGATAGATCAGTGTTTCTCAACCTTGGCAACTTGAAGATGTCCGGACTTCAACTCCCAGAATTCCCCAGCCAGCAAATGCTGGCTGGGGGATTCT